CTGGGGAGCCCTAGTCCAGGGTCAAAGCCACTTGGGAATGGGATTTCCCACCCACAAACCCCATTCTTTGGTTATTTGCACAATCCAGGCTGCAGCACAGGTCTCCAGCACTGGTTCCCAGTCCCAGGACTGTGCCCAAGCTGACAGTGCCACTCACCTGCTCTGGAAAAGCTGCTCTCCTCCACTGCAACAGCAACACAGACAGGTGAGTGCATGGCCACGCCACCTTCCCCTCTCCCCAGTGCCAGCACCACTGCCTCCACCCCCTCCACTGCTCCCAGCACCACACCATGGACACTGGGTGCTGCACAGCTGGGGGGTCCTCTGCTCTGCTCCACCCATGCCCCACCAGCCTCATCCTGCCCCAAGAGGCCAACCCAGCTACTGAGACATGCACAGCCCACCACTGAGCCCAGCCGGGACCTAAAACCCTGACACCAGCACCTGCACTGGAATTACCCAAAACACATGGCTGGTGCTGCCAGCAGGACAGAGCTCTGCCCCCCAGCACTCTGCTCAGGCCCTCAGCTCACCCCACCACGGGCAGCAGAGGGGTCCTACCTCGGGGGATCTTGCAGATGACCCCCATGGTGACGTTGGTGCAGGAGCCCAGGCGCCACACGCCGTTGCTGCTCTGGATCCAGTAGCAGCTGTTCTGGCTGAGCATGCTGGGCCCCGTGTCGTGCTGGCCCCAGTTGGAGTAGTTCACAGCAGTGTTGTCATGCCAGACCAAGGTGCCACCTGGGAAATGGGATAATTAGGCCTGGGGAGGCTGAAGGGGACACCCCATCTCTGTCCCACTTCAGGAAGCACAGGCAGGTGTGATGGGGCAATGGGATTTGGAGCAACCTGGGCTAGTGGAAGGTGTTTCTGCCCATGGCAGGGGGTTGGAACTGGATGGTGTTTAAGGTCCCTTCCAACCCAAACCATCCCATGATTCTGTGATTCTGTGATGGGGAGGACCAGGGGCCACAGGGCTCATTCCTGCATCTGCAGGCTCCAGTGTCTTGGAGAAGGCTCTGGGATTCCCATCCCACCAAACCAGAGGAGGACATACATGGCATGTCCAGCATGGCCTGAAGAACTGGTGCTCCTGTCACACCATGGCATGAGCTCCCCTCATTGGTGCCACCAGCAAGGGCTTCCTCTGCTCACTGCAGACCCGGTGGGAATTCATGGGGGTGCCTGGGGGAATATCTCAAACCTCAGTCCTTCCTTTGTACCTTTGGGGTTGAAGGTCATGCCCAGCCAGGCCCCCTTGGAAGGGCCCTCGTACGACTGGAGATGCTCCCACACAAAGACATTCTCCATCTCGTCCTGGATGGACAACACTGTGCCACCAACTGTGGAGGGAACAGCGACATGGAAGAGCCCAGAACTCAAAGGATGGAGCTGGGGGAGCAGCAAAGCTGAGGAACCACCCATGAACCACCTGATGGTTGGGCAACCCTCACATGGAACAGCAAGGAGACGATGACTGACCAAAGCCAGGCATGGGCAGAGAGACAGGGGAGCTCTGCTGCACCCACAGACATCCTGGGCATCTCACCCTCTACCACCTCAGCCCCCTCATACCTTTCTGGCACCTCCTCATGGCGTCCTTCTGCCCCAGGGTGATCTCCATGTGGAAGGTGTAGCAGTGGTCCCGGAAGGGGATCCAGGACGAGTCCTCCAGCGATTTGGGACAGCTGCCACTGTAGCTCCACTTGTGCGTGCGGGGGGCACCTGGGGAGCACACGGCACACTGAGTGGGGTGAAGGGGCACAGGGCACCGAGGTCCCACGGCACGTCGGGGCACTCAGACCCACAGGGACATGCAGAGAGCCCTATCCGGGTGGGATGCCATCTCCAACCATTGGTGGCACCCCACCTGACCACCCAGTGCCCCCCTTGGCCAGCACCTGTTCGGAGCTGGCAGATGCCCCCCTGGAGCTTGGTGTCGCAGCCGGCCGTGCGCCAGCTCCCGTCCGCATCCATGTAGGAGCAGCCCGTGATCTGCTGGGGCTCCCCGTCCTGCCAGTTGGTGTACACCACGTTCTCCTCCGTCAGCCACGAGTAGCTCCGGCCTCCCTGGAGGAGAACCAAGGGGAGGAGACGCTGAGGGGGCTGCCATGACCCCCTTAGGGTCACCCTGCCCCAGGCGCCTGCCCCCTTCCCTCACCTCGTCGGCCAAGCCGATCCAGAGCGGGGCCCGCAGGCTGCTGACGGCCTGGGTGAGGAAGGCCTGGCTGTAGGGGTCGGGGATGGTGGCCAGGGTGGCGTTGAGGGTCTCACAGAGCAGCAGGGCCTCGTGCCACCTGAGGGGTTTCTGCAGGATGCGGTAAGTGCTGTTGTGGTAAAAGAGGGCGCCGGTGGGCGAGGGCGGGTACGGCGTCCGCGCGGGGCTCAGGGCTGGGTCTGGGGGAGCAAAGAGACACGGTCAGAGGGCACAGAGGGCACTCCTGCATCCCAGGAGGGGTCACCCCCTTGTCCGTCCCTACCCAGGCCCAGCTGTCCCTGTAAGTGCTGCCCTGGTGCAACCAGGGAGGGCAGAGGGACGTCCCCAGGGATGAGAGCAGTGACACCCTGGCACCATCCCCACCTTGGAGCCTGTCCACTAGGATTCACATCCCTATGGATGTGAATGCTGAGCCAGACTGACAGGTACAGGTTTGGGGCTGTCCCACAGATAGCTGTGATGGGGGACCACCCCCCAAGTCAAGCCTGTCTCCCTGAGCTCCTCCAGCACCAGGAGCTCCTCTCAAGCTGAGTCGACGGCTTGGAGCTCCCCAGCCCCACCACTCATGGGGCACCAGGGTGGCAGTGGCAGGTCCCCAGCCAGCAGAGCTGGGGTTGTCCCCTCATGCCCCCCCTACCTATGCTCCGCTGGCAGATGTAGCCGTGCTTCTCCTCCAGGCAGCTCCGGTCGTCCCAGCGTCCCGTGAAGAGAGGGGGTGAGCCGTGCCACACCACCACACAGTTGGTCTGCAGAGCCAAGCCACGGGGGTCAGCACTGCCCTTAGCACTGTCATCCCACCCTGTGGGCACCCCCACACCAGGAGTGTCCCCTGGTGGGCAGGTCCCCACCCTGCAGGGCCGGATCCTGCTGTGCCCTTGGAGAGCCACCCCTGCTAAAACCTTCCCTTGCCATGGTGGCACAGGGGACTGAGACCTTCCCAGGAGCTGGGGGTGCTGTGGGGGTCTCTCTCACCGGTTTGTCGCGGGGGCTGGAGGCACTGCAGCCCGAGGGCTCCCCGGGGGCCCAGCTCACGTGCCGCAGGGGCTCCCCCTCCACCCACTGGAACTCCCTCTGCGCGTCGTGGAGGCCGATCCAGAGGTCGAAGGAGATGTTGGGCAGCATGGATGTGATGAAGGCTGCGAGGGACAGGGAAGGGGCTGAGAACCACCCCTGGCAGGTCCCCAGCCAGCAGGGCTGGTGGGGTTGGTGGGGGCAGCGGGGACCTACCCTGCTCCAGGGGGCTGGAGATGGTGGCCAGGACGGCGCCCTGGCTCTCGCACGCCTGCTTCGCCTCCGGCCACTTCACTATCTCGCCTTTGTTGTGGCCATTGAAGCTGAAACACTGCACAGGCAGTGGCACAGGATGGTCCACGGGGGGCAGCTGCCCCCCACCCTGAGCTCTGCACCCTCCCCATCCAACCACCCTCTGCAGCTTCATTCTGCCCCGGTGGCCCTTCTCCCCTTTGCACCCTCACATCTACCAGCCCCCAGCCACTCCTGCACTCCCACCTCTCTCCTGGCATCCCTGTGCACGCACCTCACCACTCCCTCCTGCACCCCCACCCCACAGCACACCTCTCCCAGCATCCCTGTTAATGAACCCCCCAGCATTCCCTAAAAAACATGTGCGAGAACCCCTCTTCATCCTGCCATTCCGCAGCCACCCACTCTCCACCTCCACAGGGCTGGTGGAAGACCAGGAGGTGACCATCACCTCTCCCTCCTGCCATCCCCTCCCCATCCTGCTGACTCCTGTCCTTCCTGCCACCCTCTCTCCCTCCAGTTCTTCATCCTGCCATCCTCTCTCCATCCTGCTCTCCCCTCTCCATATGACCATTCCCTCTCCCATCCTGCCATCCCTTCCTTCCAGCCCTCTCCTCT